AGTGAAATCAATAAATCAAGCCCCACTCCTGACTGGCTGCTGTCAGGATGATTCCTGGGATTTATTGCTCTTCCTCTAGCTGCTGCCCAGCATAATCGCAATGAAGCCAGCAAGCCCGATGTTGACACCTGGAACCAGGCCAGTCACACCTACAGCCACGCCCTTATCAGTGACGTGCGACAGAAGAGAAGGAGGATCACACTCAGCACCAAGGGCCAGACCCTGAATACATACACCAGGAACCTGCAGCTCAGGAAAGATCCATCTGGCCTTGTCCCCTTCTCCTGAATCACAGAAGGAACAAATACTGGCAGGGACGGAGGATGCCAAGAGGTCAGGCCCAGCCAGGAAAGGAGAGGAGGTGCCCGGTGGGGAAAGAATGAATGCAAGAAGCAGCCCTCGGTGTGAAACACAGACTCAAAGCAGGGAGACTCCACATACCCAGTGGGCATTTAAAGCCAAATAAACCTGCAGGGGGTGGCTGTGGAAAGGACAGAGGGACAGTGCCCCGATGGTCTAGGTCAGGGCTGGCCGACTACAAGCCTTGAAGCGGGTGTGACATGGGGGAAATCACCCAGGGAACTCTCAGTATCAGGTCTTGAGGGCAGGGACCTGCCTGCAGTGTTCTTGGTACCCAGCACTCGGCACATGACCAGGCACAGAGTAGGTGTTCAGGATTCCTCTGTTGACAAAGGCTGGACTGTGCTTAGCACTGAGGATGTGCTCCCATGAAATAAGACTGCCTCGCATGCGCTGATAGGAAGGGGCTTCTGCAAAAGGAAGCAGATACTCTGAAAAAACGGTGGAGATGTGAGGGTGACCCTGAGGGTTGGGTGCCAGCGCAGCTGGTGTGAACCAGAGAGACAGTAGCTGAGACTGCCCACTCTGATCCTGTGGGCCGCCTCTGCCCTCGTCACCGTGTCTAAGAGACCAGCACAGGCAGAACCGGAGGTGGAGGGGACCAAAAAAACACAAGAACGGCTGCTTTCCAGTTGTCAGCACTGGGCTGGGGACATCACGGGCTCTGGTTTCTTCTTAATCTGCCTGTTAATTGTTATTATTACAACCACTTTCCACAGGGGAAAACTGAGGATAGACAGTGTAAGGAACTCAGGAAAAGCCACACGGGGGAGAGGGATGAGGCTGAGACCCGCCTGACTTCCCACCAGGTGCCTTTAAGTCCTTCACCACCAAGGATGCAGGTATTGCAAACAGCGACCAAAGAGTAGATTTCTGTGGAATATCAATAAATTTGAGCGATGTGAGTGGCTGGAGACCAGAGGGGGGAAACGCTTTGTTTCTTTTATTCAAAGACACTCAGAAACGTTTCCAGTGTCATAGATGAACAAAGGTGGACATGAGTTAAAGCAGTGAGAACAGACCATCCAGCGATGGCTGCTGAACAGGGAAAGAGCTGAGCTCCACTCTGATTCATGCAGAGGTGAATGGGTGTTATGCTTTTTGTTTTGTTTTGGTGTAATTTTAATTTTTATTTATTTATTTTATAAATACTATTTGTACATCCAATGATGTTGCAGAACAGTTGGGAGGGACAGGGAGAGGGAAAGGGGAGGGAAATGTGGTGGAGGAAGGAAGAGGGGCAGGACTGAGGCCTGTGGCACCTCCCACCCCTCATTCCCACAGGGCTGACTGGGGGGCTTGGTCATTGCTGGGCTGGGTGCAGATGTCAGGGGGGTGTAGCAAAAGCCCCCACTTCCCACCACCCCAAATCGGGAACCCAGGCACCTTCTTTCTGCAGCTCAGTGGTCATCACTGGGCCGACTGTACACGTAGGGTGGCATGGCCAAGACGCTCGGCCCCTCACCACCCCCACTCAGGACAGCATGGGGTGCTTCCTGCAGCAGCTTGTTGGTCATCCTTGGGCTGGTTTCTCATGTTTGGGGGCGTGTGAACAAGGCCTGAGGCCCACAAACTCAGGACTAGTTATAGGTGTCATGGGTCATGGCTGAGGTCTTCAGCCTTCCCCACTTTCTGGCTTGGTAGCCCAGAGACATCCAATCCTTCCAGGTGTTTTAGGTGTTCCTAGGTGAAATGAGACCTTTACTACTTAATATCAGATTTCTGCCTGGTGGCCATTCCCAGGCTCAACAGCAGGAAGGAGAACTAAAGGAGAGCTTGGCAATCTCATTAAGCTGGGAAGACAGTGATTGGAGTTTGGGGTAATGAGGTGGCTGGAACTTGCAGGGTAGGTGATAGACTTTGGACGTGTTGTCCCTGCCAAAACTCATGTGCAAAGTTCATCCCAATGTGGCAGTGTTGGTAGGTGTTTGAATCATGTGGTGCATCCCTCCAGAATGGGTTAGTGCTCCCTAGGTGGAGGGAGAAATGAGCGAGTTCTCACTCTATTAGTTCCTGCGAGAGCTGGTTGTTTAAAAGACCCTGGCACTTTCTCTCTCTCTCTGTCTCTCTTGCTTCCTCTTGCCATGTGATCTGCTTGTACCCACCAGATGCTGCTCCTTTCCAATATGAGTAGAAGCAGCCTGAGGCCAACAACAGACACAGCTGTCCCAGAATAGTAAGCCAAATAATCCTCAGTTGTTTATAAATTATCCAGTCTCAGGTATTCTGTTCTAGCAACAAAAAATGGACTAATACAGTAGGGTAGTGAGAAAACATAAGCTGTGAGATGAATCAAATTGAATACTCTGTATTGACATCTTGAGTCTTTGGCTGAGTAACAAGTACATACGTGCAAAGCAAGACTTCATAAGGACCTGCAAGAACAAATATGAGAGAGAGAAGAATCTCAGAGAAACAAGCTTGACAGCAACACAGGGCGAGGAGATATTCAAATTCTGGTCTTTCAGAGTGGAGAGACCTCATTGTACACCATAGGCATCTAGTAAAACACCCAGACCAGCAAAGCTTTAAGAGTATGACTCATCTGCCCTACAATAAAAGAAATTCTATACATTCCCCAGCAAAGATTAAACGCAAGCCTCAATGGAATAAGCTAGTCCCATGTAAAGTAACTGCCTGATAGAAAAAAACACCACCACTCAACACCCCATCAAAGAAGACAACAAAATACAGACACTCCATGATGTAGCATTTATAATGTCCAGTAAACAATAAAAATCAATAGACATACAAAGAGAGAGACATGTGACTCATAACCAAGAGGTAGATTGACAGTAGGAACAGATCCCAAAATAACAGAGAGGATGGAATTAATAGACAAGGAATTTAAGGCAGCTACCATAAATACGCTGAAGTATTTAAAGGTGAATAAGACATAACTGGGGAACTTATTTGAAAAATCAGGGATCTTACTTAAAGAATGGAAGCAATGAAAAAGCAGCAATGGAACATTTTAAGTGAAAAACACAATCTCTTAAATGAAGAGTTCGCTGGATAATATTAAATGCAGCTTATGCACTCCCAAGGAAAAGATAAGTGATCTTAAAGACAAGTCAATAAAAAACATAAAAATTGAAGCACAGAATCATTAAAAAAAGAAGTGCAGAACCTCGGTGATTTGTGAGACAGTAAGTGGTCCAATATACATGTAACTAGATCCCCAGAAGCAGAGGAGAAAATGACTAGCACAGAAAAATATTGCAAGAAAAAGAGGTCAACAATTTTACAAATTTGGTGAAAAATATAAACTCAGAGATCTGAAAAAGTCAACAAATCCCAAGCAGAATATAAACAAAGAAAATCATTCAAAGGCACATCTATAGGGAATTTAAGGGTTAATGTCACTTGGATGCAGAGTGGGTAGTGCCAGGCCTAAGGCCATTGACAGAGGGGTCAATGGATGTTGGACCAGTGTGTCTGCGCTGTCTGATCAAGGAGGCTAGGGGACAGGGGGCACTAAAGGGAGGGACAGTGCCCTTCCAGAGTCCCCTGGCCATGCGCCTTCACCAATGTAAAAGACATCACTAGCTACAGATTTGGGAAGGACACCTTCCCAAACCTCATTCCTTTCACATGAAAACTTCATGTTATCCCATAATAAAAATCTCTCAAATTTATTATTTGAAGTTTTTCAATAATCACAAAGCAAAGGAGTAGCTCAGGGCTAGTTTTCAGGTAGCCATGCCACAGTTGCGTGCTGGAAAACTAGCAGAATTTTCACCAGTGGCATTTCATTCCATTTGTTGCTGAAGGATTCTCTGAGCTTGACGTTTTTGCTGCTGGTTCCTCTCTCCTAAAAGGTCTAGATTTGCTTCTGTAGCTGAGGCCTACGGGTACATGCTTTTTAGTCTGAGCTCTTGACTTTGCATGAAGAAAGTACAGAGTAATCCTTTCTGTAGAGCTCAGATAGCCATTAAGCAGGCTTCCCAATGAGGCTGCTATGGACTAAACTGTGTCTCCCACAATTCGTATGTTGAAGCCCTAACCCCGACTGGGATGGCATTTGGGAGACCTTTGGGAGGTAACTAGGGTTAGATGAAGTAATGAGGGTGGAGCCCTTGTGATGGGATTAGCGCCCAAATAAGAAGAGACACCAGCAAACTTGCTCTCCCTCCATGTGCGTGCACAGAGGGAAGACCATGGGAGGGCACAGTGAGAAGGCTGCTGTTTGCAAGGCAAGAGGAGAGGCCTCAGGAGAAACTAATCATGCTGGCACCTGGGCCTTGAACTTGGAGCCTGCAGAATTGTGAGGAAATAAATTTCTGATGTTTAAACCACCAAGTCTGTGGTATTTTGTTATAGCAGCCAGAGCTGACTAATACAATTCCCAGAAAAATCGATCTTTGTTATACTGGACTAGGAAACAGATGGTGATGGAGTTTGGATGTGTTGTCCCCTCCAGAACTCATGTGGAAATTTGATCCCCAGTGTGGCAGTGCTGGAAACTGATACAGTCACTGGGGTGGATCCCTCATGAATGGATTCATGCTCTCCTTGGGGGAGGAGGGGTGGTGAGTGAGTTCTCACTCTATTAGTTCCGACGAGACCTGATTGTTTAAAGGATCCTGGCACCTCCTCTCTCTCTGTTGCTTCCTGTCGCCCTGTGATCTGCTTCTACCCGCCGGCTGCCTGCCATTTTCCGTCATGAGTAGAAGCAGCCTGAGGCCCGTGCCAGATGCAGCTGTCCCAGAATCATAAGCCAAACAAACCTCTTTCCTTTATAAATTACCCAGTCTCAGGTATTTCTGTTGCAGCAACACAGAATGAACTAAAAAAGACAGGTATGCTAGATTTTTGGTTGCTTAACCAAGAGCTATCCTTATCCCCATCAGAACCACTCACCTTCTCCCAGGAGAACAAAGCCCTAGTGTTGGTGGGGCAGACACCTCCTCCTTCACATCTAGAAG